AAAAAAAAAAAAAAATCCTTGTTTGGATCATACATAGTTTAATAGAGCACTGGTTTGTTTACAGAAAAAACTGTAATAATTTTATGCTACTGCCAGAGCAGTCAGTATTTAAATGCAACTGGCTGAAAAAAATTCCCAAGTGCAAAGGGAAAACAAAGAAGAGTGTCTGTCTGTCTGTCTCTTCTCCCAATTTTTTCAAATTAAGAGAACCTCCCAATGAGGATGGTAAAATCCTCCTACACTGACAAATCAAATTGTTTTTCCAAACACCCCAAATTACATTTGTTTTGAGTATCAACACCCACACTTCTAAAAAAAAAGATGGCAAAATTAAGTTTAGAAGAAAATAGATTTGGAATCTCTTTAGAAGATATGAACAGTAACAACTTGGCAAACAGGTGAGTAATTATAGGACTTACATTTGAAACAACTGCATCTTGTCAGGTGGAAATGAAAGTGCTGTGTCCAAAAACTTACAAGCTGATAAGTACAAGGACAGCTCATTCAGCTGTATTTCAGATCCACTGCCATCACCAGAGACTTTCTGTTTGCTTATTTTGCTATTGTTCCTGTGTTAGTTACAATTCAGAAATGTACCATTAAAACATAAATCCACTAAATGTTTTTTCATTCAGCAAAAGAGAAATGTGCACATTTATACACTTGCACCTTTGTATGACAAACTCTATGTTTATTCTGGATGAGTACTGTGATTCATTTAAAAGGCTGGCAGAAGAAAAAGTAAGCTGAAATATTCAGAAAAAAAGTCAACATGTTAAAATATTCAAATGCTGACTTAGCATCTCCTCTATTTTTCTGCAGAACTAGTAAGTGGAACTTATGTTTTTTGAATATATCACTGTTTTAGCTGCTGAAAAAAAATCTTGAACTGTGATTCATCAGTACCAGAAATACACTAGTGCAACAGCAAAAAATCATGTTGTCTCCTCCCTATCCCAGCTAACTAAATAAATAGGTAGATAAATAAATATATATTTGCAAATACAGAACAAACACGATTGTCATCAGCTTTCAGAATTTCTCTATCAGACAAATGATAATTCTTACTTTGATGGTTCATCTTCCTCAGTTAAATCTTCTTCCAGCTGTAGAAATGTCTGAATCTTTAAAATAAAAAATAAATTACTTACGGGCATGCTGAACCATTCATACAACTCAATCACAAAAAAGATGCTTCACACAGTAGAAGGAACCACAGACTCCTAGTTTATTCTTATGACTTGCAACAAATTAACAAATCATGCAAGAGATTACATTAGCAACAACAATAAAATTCATCAAAAAGGTATTTCCTACTGACAGTTAATTCTTTTCCCAAATGACCAGAATAATGTAAAACTATGAAAACATTTCCTTTTTCACACAGCAGAATTGCTTGGGAATAAAAAAAACAGGTGAAATGGGAAGAGACGTACACTAATTACTAATTATACATTTGAAATTACTACTTATTCCTTACCAATTCAGTTACCATAATTGGCCACAATGAGGTTAGATGCTGAGGAGAAATCCTTAACAAAAGAACTCTGAAGAAGAGAAACATCTGTGCAGCAACTATGGAAGTTTGCCCAACACGGAGGTTCTCAGTCAGTCGTTCTGAAATAAACATAAAAAAAAGTCAAACAAACGAAAAAACCAGCATCATGTTTTCCTGAACAAGTGTTGTTTTGGGAAATAAAAAACTTAGAAGGTGGCAAAACAAATTTTGTTCTTTATCATCAGTTTTGGGTTGAGTCCCTCATACTCTGTTAACAGAACTGTGATTCAGGAAAAGTCTGAAGACATGGGGGCTTTATAGTGGACAAAATTTTGTCCAAACTGAAATTAAGGAGAACAACAACAGCCCAGGAGAGGCTGGGAGACTGCCATGAAACAATCACGTTTCCAGTTATATTGCCAGACTAAAGACTTTTTGAATTCATATTCTTGTCTTGCTCTTAATGAGATTATTTACTTGTTAGAATTCCGAGAGTCACAGCATAATCAATGTTAATAATTTTTTTTTTTTTTAATGGAAGTATGTGTTGGAAAATAGGTGACATGCCTTTCTTACACAATTTATATATGCGTTACAGCTGGAAAAAAAAGGCCTGTGAAATTACAAATCTTACCTTGTATTAAGGGAAGATAGAGATGATACTGATCAATCTCACCACTAAAGACAGCAAAAGCTTGGCGCTTTAGCAACATTGCTTTTTGCTCAGAACTTGGGTACAGTTTTAAGGCGCTGCTCTGCATATCTGGAACAGATATATTATCAGAATTATCTACTGTCCAAAGACTTCTTGCATTTTTGGTTGAAATTAATTCCTACATCCTGAAGTATTTTAAAAAGAAAAAACTCTCCTTGGGTCTACTGCATGGTAAACTTTCAACAGTTCTTTTAGAAGATCTGAAAAAGAGACTAAAGCTGCATTTTCTTTTGAAGCTCTAGGCAAATTTAAGGGGTCCTATTCCACCCTTTCCCCCAGATCTTACTCTTCTATGCTCTCAAGCCTGAAATAGAGAGCAAAACATATTGCTCTAATATAAATACAGTTTGCTGTACCTGTGCACTGCATTCCTACAGCTCGATGCCAGTGTAACAGACACCTGCAAAGTTAGCCAGAGTCTCCTTGCTTTCTAACAAGCAACAGCTTAAAATTACGGCAAATTGTGAATGCAGGAGTCCAGCATTAGCACTTTAAGAACATACATACTTATGGTGAATTTTAGACATGAACCAAATACAGAATTAACTTAGCACAGCTTTTAGCTGTGAATAAAGTTGACAACATAGTCAATTATGGAGATGCAGCACTGTTTGCATTTTACTGATATATTAATATATTAAAAATGCATCAAAAAACTCAAATGCAAATAGATTTCAAATTAATGTAGAAAAAAGTCATCAGTAACTGATACTTACTCATCAAATCTTTAAACATAGTTTTCTCATGTGTCAGAAGATGATCAATAATGGATCTCCAACTGAGTAAGATACAAAAGGAATCAGATAACCAGAGAAAGCTTTGATTATATTAGATTATCCTCAGGAAAGATTTTGGTAAAGCATTTCATACAAGGAAGCAGTTTCCAAATGGTATTGAATATGTAGACTTGTGTCTGGTTTAACACATACTGCTTTCTAGATCCTTCAGTTCTGCTTTATACAGTTCCTTAATCACTAAGGGGAGTATCTGCAGAAGACTGCACTATAATAAAACTAAAGTGTTTATAATGCATTTAGTAGAATTAGTGTTTGAGACCTATTTTAAGTTTATTACATTCTATAAGAAAGTATTAAACAGAATTTGCTTTCCAGTATTAGGCATTCTCCTTTAAAGCCTTTATTTGCAAATTCAGAAGAGAATCTTGGAGTCCTACAATCTCACGACTTACTGAGTGCACGAAGTGTCCATCTGGAAAAAAGCTGGATCCATATACAACTCAAGAACTTCTTTTTTCCAGGCTCGCTTGGTATAGGCATATCCACTCAATGAGCTGAGTAACTGAGCACCAGCACGAAAACTAGGAATGTTGTAGGCACTAGGGGAAGAGAAGTTAAGTTATGTAACCAGAAAATAAACTCTAGGGTTCCCCAGAACTAACCAAATTATCTCAAGTAATAGGCTACATCTGCATTAGCTCATAACTTGGAGCAGCAGGAGATGAGTAGATCAAAGCAGTCTGTGCAGAAACTCCTCACATCTCCAGTATACCTGGTTTGGGGAGATATTTTCAGTTTAGCACAGTACTGCCTGTCCCCACTACAGGTGTGGCTCAGAACTTCCCCCCAGAAAAGTTTCTAAGAAGCTTTGCATCCTTGTCAGCAGACCCCCTTATAGAAGGTACCACAGTAGGTTTCAACTGTCATCCAGATAACACTCGTGTGCTTTCTTGTGTCATCCTCACCTGTATAAACATCTCACACACAAGCCTTTATCTCCTTGTGCTGCCCTATGCACCATCCTGCTCCAAATGTGGACATTGTCCTCTGCAAGGCATGGTAGAAAAGGAGTGTTGGGCTCAAGGTGAAAGGACCCTGCATGAACCTGTCCCCTAGCACCTCAGCTTCACTGAGAACACAGATGCCAAAGACCGTCCCCCATGAATCCTTGCTACGAATCCTGCTTTTCCCATGGCTGAACAAAGGTTTCAGGCTGGGGAGGTGGTGCACAGGGTGACAGGAACATGACTTTTGGTTGAGAAGGGATGCTGTCAAGGTCTTCTGTTGTGAGCTGGCACCACACCTTCACAGAGGGCTTCAGCAGTCCCTGTGAAGGTGGCAGAGAGAGGCTACTGTCTTTTTGTGGAGCCCTGCAACCAAACTCCTGCCCTCATCAACAAGAGTGACATACACTCCATACCTCAAGAATCTGACAGGCTTGGGTAGGGGTGAACTAGGCAGAAAACACTGTAATAGATACAATGGAAAATGCACAGATATAATTAGTAGAAAATAGCAGCTACCCAAAAAGTCTCTGCATCATTTTTAATCTATCGCTCTTGACAGGGAGCATGAAAATGTCTTCAAACTGTGCTGCAACCTGAGGCTTGCTGGCTTTAATGCTCACTTCCCAGTGACACACAACCTATCATCCCTTTTAGGCATGCCTGGTCGTATCTTCCCTGACCCTCTACACTGTTTTTTTGCTCTTGACTGTATACGGGCTAGTGGTTTTGACTGTGATCTAAGTAATGATTGAGACAATCCCCACTCCCCCCTTGGCACATGTGGGCTGAGGCTGATGCTGTCCCACATCTCAGCACAGATTGGTCTGCTCAGAAAAATGTGGTAGCCAAAGGTAGCAGCCAGGAGTAGGGGAAACTTGATACCTGCTACAGCAGAAGCAGCTGCAGCTCAGAAAAGAGGAACTGACTGGAGCAGGAAAGAGTAGGGGAGCACTGCATCCTGCTTGGCAGGAGAGCTGCTAGGAAAAGGAGGATTTGCTTTCAGAGACATCTGTGAATAGCACTGGGAGAAACGGAGGGAGAGATGCACGAGGAAGGCTGAAGAACCACGACCAACTGGTAAGGCCCCAGAAGATTAAAAGGAAACCTGCACAGCAAGGAAATGCTCTCCTTTCTCTCCTCATCTCACTGTGGGAAAAGGGTTGTACTGTCCAGCTGACAGAGGATTTAATCCATCTTTCCCACACCTGTGCTTTTGGCAGAGGGGAGATACTGTATTTTTCCCGCTTCATAATGGGTCCTGTGATGTACCCAGTGCTCTGCTGCCCCATCCCATAGCCTCTCTCCAGTATCTGAGTACCCAAAAGGGGGAGCTTTAAGTAAAGGTCAGAAACCCAGATGGGAGGAACACCTACATCAAAACAGAAACAACTGTCACAAAGCTTGAACAACAAAAGGTTTCACTTCCTGGGAGAAACAGAGCTTATTAGAGTGGGAACAAGGAAAGGGACAAACAGAAGAAAAAGAAAAAGCCTCACAGTGTGGTAAAAAAAAATCAGACTTAAGAAAAATCACATGCGCAGAGAAAGAAGTCACCTGTGGTTGCGTAGATAAGGAAATACATAATAAAGCAAACGTGAAATCAATGGCACAGCTTTCTCCTTCTCGTCGCTCCGGTAAACCATGTCCAAAAGAGAAGCAAGAACCTTAAAAATGAAAAGAATGCCTCTTTAAATCTCTAGTTAGTATTTCTGACAAAAGGGGAAAGCATGCCATGTTTCAGGCTAGAATGTGTGTGCACATGTGATGCCTGAATAAAGATTTAAGCTCGCATTTAATCTACCAGGAAAATGCAATATATACCTCTAGTCAGTAATATCAATAAACAACCACCCCACAGATGAGAGCAGCAACTACAAAACAGGTTCCTACTTACTTCTGCAAGAAGAGAAAGAGCTTGGACACTGTATATTGAAGGAGCAGAGGCAGAAACCATTGAAGACGGTGCCACTGATGTATCTAAAAGAGGCAAAATAATTTAGTTTTCCTTTCAGAGATGTTTAAGTTTTGCTGTTTCCTAATTTTCTTCCCAAACAGAACTATTATTTGCATATTGGTATTACAGATAAATGGTTCTGGGTGTGTTGCCTCAATGACATACATCATGCCCCATGCTGTTCTGTCCCATGTATTGCAAGCACCTGCAATAAGTTTTCCTCTGTATTATTCACAATCTGCAGATATTTACTAAACTCACTTAGTCTGAAATTGTTATTGGAGAATAATACTTTTTTTCTGGTTTTACTTCACTTTGCCTGTCTCATGCAACTACACAAGTATAAAACACCTTTTATTCTTCACTTCTTTAAGCAGAAGAGAGAAAGCAGCAGAATGTCAGACAAAACCATGTTACCATTCACATCTTCAATGTTGAAGTCATCTGGTAAAATCTGAGGCTGAGCTTTCACTTCTAAGTTCCGGCTAAGCCAACTAGTCTGTTCCAGAGAAGAACCAGCAACCGTCCCTACAGCCTCCAAGATTTTTTGGGTCACCTCCTATAACATAACCAGACAAGGTGGCATTAGATGAAAGCTATAATCACTTGACTAGTCCAGCAAAGTCCTTTTTAGATGGAATGTGTCAGGAGGACCGGAAGTAGGCACTTTTAAAAACACAAATACTTCTCTGATTTAACTATCTGTGCTCTCAAGATAACTAAATACTGCTCACTTCAAATAAGAACAGGCAAGAAAATGAGAAGCTGGAAAAACTTTAAGTTAGCTTAGGGGATTTCAGTAATGATCTTCCATGCAAAGCATTACCACTAACATGGCATCCATCTGGCATCTGTCCTGCCACAATTTACACGTTAGCTGTCATCTGAGTTGTTCAGCACCTCAGAAATGGCATACCAGTGCCTTTGTTATTTTGAGCATTGCTCCTTTTTCCTCCTTTTGAATTTGGAAAGCTTAAGTGAGGCAGAGCATTATGTGAGGCAAATTTTATTGTATGACAATCCTTCTGTTCACATTTGGGGCATTCTGTTAGGGGTAAGCAAGACACAGCATCAAACTATGTGCAGAATCATACTTCAGCATATTTAATTGCCAGTGAAATGAAAAGCTGGTGACCCTAATGAAACCAAATCCCAGTATCCAAAGCAAAGCAGAAGTTACTTGTGAAGAGGATCTAAGATGTTAAGATGGCAAAACTGTCTTTTTATTATCATTGTAATTTTGCTGGCAAGTCTCTGAAGCAGAAGTGGAGACTACATTTTTCTGTTGGCACAAAAATGTACTAGAACCGTAACACCCTCTCACCTCATATATATATGCTATATATAGCATTTTGTTGGCTCAGAGCCAAGATATGCCCACGCAGATAGGGCTTACACTGTTCTGGTGAAATTACAATGAGTACAGGAAGAGAATCCTGCTCTACTCCACCCCTTCCTAGCATAAAAGGTAAGCTGACAGTTATTTACATTGCCAAATAGAGCTATGAGCTTCAAGGATAATTGCACTATTTTCCTAAATAGTTTTGAGATTTCAATACTTACACATATGACATAAACTCATGACATCACACTTGTGTTATGATTTAAATTCTAAGAAAAATCATAAAAGCACTCAAGAAAAACTGCTTTGCCCAGTCCATGGCTACCACTGCAATTTAATGCATTTAATGCAATTTAATGTATTTTTTGACAAAATTTTGTTAGAGACATTCTGTGCATCATGTCTCTCATATTTGAGTCTCCCATATTTATCAGGCCTAAGCCAAAACGTGGCATGCACATTCACACATTCTAGAAGCACAGATTAACCCAGATAGAAAGTACAGATCAGGCCATCTCCACTTTTACTTAGACCTACAGTGCCAGATTTATGAACTAAAAGGTGTACATGTATACACTGTACCTGCAAGTCTTTTTGGTCTTTTTTGTTTTCTAGAGTAGGTGTCCTAGTCACAAAGTCATTCAGAGTGCTGTGGGAAAATCAATTCAGAGTTAGTAATTGGACAGGTCTGCTTGATGCATCTATAAACCACCTTATCTCTAATGCAGTACCTGAGAAGAATAAAGTGTCCAGGAGGTGCCAAGTTCAACTGCACAGACTCTTTGAGAAGTCCTAATAAGGACTGGAAGTTCTCCTGCAAGGCTGAGACAGGCAGCCTAACAAAAAAACAACACCAAAACACACCAAAATCTGATGTTAAAGAAATAAAAAAAACCAACAACCAACCTATATGGGTTACTTGGTGGCCTAAAACCTTCCATCAAGATCAGTTCTTTAGATCCTGCCCCTTCCTAGCTAATTCAACATGGTATAAATATTTGGCAGCACAGGTAATATGCATACATCAGTAAATGCCAGCAGCACATGCAGAATGCCAGCCAGCACTATAAGAGGTCTGAGTCTTTAGGAGGAAGAAAAAGAATAAAATTTAGCTAACTGCCCCACTGCATGCCAGCTTATTTTATCTCTATAGCTCAGTGCATACAGCATATTAGACAGTCTGATGTATCTCTAGGTTTCCACATGAGAAAAGCCAAGCATGTGAAGAGTTTTGATCAAAGGAGTATTTCCAGTCAACTGCCTGACCCCACTACATGTCCAGCACAGACTGTAGCCATAAGCAGTCTTACTGAATTTAGAAGTTCTCTACCCATTAATCTGGCAATACAGAAAAGATAAGGAGAAATATCATAAGAAATTATACAAGTATTTTGATAATGAGATGCCTGAAGTATGTTCCTCTGTTAGTATGAAATGAGGCTTTCAGACTGGCATTATCAACAGATCAAGGGACTGTAATATCATACCCCAGTTATTTTGTGTCTATCTGTTAGTTAACAATGAGGTGGCAATAATCATTTCCTACATAAAACTATTCTGTGACATCGTGACACAAAGATCAAGGTAAAGCAGAAATAGTGATACTGGCTGTTAACTACAGCCAAACAGAAAATTCTCTTTCATAATTACTGACTTACCTTTGAATGAAAGCATAGCTGAACTGCAGCATTGGAATATCTACAAGAGAAGATTTCTGAAAAATTAAATAAAAAACCAGAATTATTTGCCATCAGAAAAAAAAAGAAAAAAGAAAAAAGAAAGGTCCAAGCTCTTGAATACCTGTGCTCAATGGTTAAGATGATCTTCTTAGGAGACACCTGTACTCCAACAGGTCACCAACTATGATAAAACTATTTATAGAGAAATACAAGGGAATTCAGAGCTCTAATATAGGACACTAGTTCAGTAGCAGTCACATTACTTTGGAGTATCTGCTACAGTTTATTCAGAGATACAGGACCTCCTAGAATAGTGTGCATAGTAGCAAAACTGTCTTCCTTGAAATCCAACTGGAAGATTGCAGATTCAGTGTTCAGATAGGAGTAGAAAGACAGGAATGTGTCACTGAGTTGTGTATCTGCAGCAGCTTTACAAAGATTGCCAGCATCTGCACTACCGGAGGACTCTACACCTTTCCATAACCAAAAACTTCTCTACCAAAATATTCTGAAGAACCTACTTACACTGATGGATCAATACACAGCTACCCACATCCTAGAAAATTAAACATATTCAGGAGCAAAAGACATTTTAAAAAACCCAAACAAATCAAAATTCTATTAACATTTAGAAAACGCATTGGAAAAGATCCAGAATATACTATATTAAGTAAGTGGAAATACATTCATGATTACCTCTTCACCCTTGATTTGTGATGGTTTCTTGACTACCTCTTTGATTAGATGTAATATCGTGTCAATTTTCAACGTGTTAAGTGCACATATTAAGTCCACAAGATTAAGCTGAGATGCACTAGCCACTGGAAGAATCTGACAAAACAAAACATGACACACCCCCTCAGATCACTGTACCAGGCAAAACACGAAGCTGAAAAACCAGCTTCTTCTGTGATTACTCAAATATAAATATTTATACAAAAGGCAAATCGGACAAGTTACATCAAGTAAGCAGCAATTGGTCACATACAGATCTTCTCCCAACACCTTCATGAAAACAACTTCATTATGCTCAAAGCAAAGCAGTCACAAAAGAGATGTTTCTATTCAGTATAAATGCTTAGTTTCAGAGAATACTATAATCTTTCTCTGGAAAGGGAGTTTATTCATGGTCTTTAAAATATAATTGGAAAGTTGCAATCCTAAGATTACCATCTAGTATGGAATAAAAAAATGGCAACTATTACCAGACTCAAACTGCCATACTGTCTGTTTTACTTTATTACTGATTTAGGTTTAACTGTAGTCCTGATGCTTTGTGGAATTCTGTATAAATAAGGGTGTTTCAGATTTTTCAGTGGTTTGCTGCTGTCACATGTTAAAAAAACACCAAAGAATCTATAAACAAGATCAGAGTTTAGATCTGAACATACAAATGCAACAGTTTTCCAGTGTAAAGGCAAGTAAGAGTGCCTTTCTTTAGTTTTACCTTGATTTTACTTTGATGAGGCTTCTTGCTATTCCACACTGCTGCAATTGCTGTCATCAACTGCATTCCAAGTTGTGCTGTCAGTGGATTCATGAAGTCCAGTATTTTAGTTCTTAATGTCTATGGAAGGGAAAAAAATAACTGTCAGTGCTAAAATTTGTAAGGCAAAGGCTATCTCACAGTCAGTAAAGCATCCTTCCTTTTCTTAAGATGTTCAGACAATACACAACACCAAAAGAGTATCTTTATATACTTGACAGTCAGACTAGTTTTAATAGTTCATTTGAGTAAGTGTATCCTTCTTACAGATGGAGGGCACATCTGTTGGAAAACAGATTGCAAAATAGAATAAAGAACTTCTTGTGTTATATTCTCCTACAGATCTTTTTCTCTAGTATGATTTACTAATATCAACAGAAGAATGAAAAATCTAGTCTTTTTATTCCTTCAGGTACATGCTCTACTGCCTGTGGAAGGTGCAGACAATTCATAAGCAGTTGGCTCTACAGCAGCTATTAACAGAAACTCACAGAAAAATCAAAACATTAGACAGTTCAGGTAAGGGCGCGGATAAACAAAAAGAACAGGGAAAAACCTACTTGTGTAGGTAGGTATTGTGCAAGTCTGTAGCTTATGAGAGTTCTTAAAAAATTCTTTGCGTCTTAATATCCTTCATGTGGTCCAATGGCAAAACTATTCCTATGAACTCTACTTAAGATGCACTGGTGAGGGGATGATAAGGATGATGAGATACACAGCAGTTTAAAAGAAGTCTTACTTTGGTTGTTTTAAAGTAGACCGAAGAAGAGCCTTTAGTTGTTCCAAAAAAGTCAGTTGGTCTTTTTTGAGAGTCTTCCCTCTTTATCACGCTCCAAAGAAGGGATATGGTATTAATAATGCGTGGCAATTCTTCCAAAATAGCATTCCTGGCATTTCTGAGATTTGAAGGTTCAGCCAAACATGGTGACTAGAAAAACCAAAACCAGTAATATTATAATACTTTATATTATGCACTAGGGAGCGAGTGCTCTTATTCTATAATAAGGCACTGGAGGAAGGCACTGGAATAGGTTGCCCAGAGAGGTTGTGGGAGCCCCATCCCTGGCAGTGTTCAAGGTCAGGCTGGATGGAGCTCTAAGCAACCTGATCTAGTGCTGGGTGTCCCTGCCTGCACAGGGGGATTGGATCTACATGATCTTTAAGGTCCCTTCCAACCCTAACCTTTCTATGATAATTTAAGAATAATAGCCAACTTTTGCAATGACAACTTTAAATATAATTCATTAATTCCAGTTCTGAAACATACTGCTGCCATCAGAGTCTACTAAATTTGCTGTTCACTATTTTGCCAGTGACAGATTGATTTGTCTAGGAAAATATTAGGATAACATCCTCTCCTGACACGTTATAGGAATAAAAATTATAGACAACACATTAGCGTGTTATCAACTCAAAAGGAAACAGAAGACTTTGTCAATGACAAAGCAACTGTAAATGAGCTACACAGGACTAATATTTGTGTGACCAAGATCACCATTAATATCTTCTGCTTAAAATGAACCTTCTTGTTTCAAATAAAATAAAGCAAGTTCAGTCCCCCTCCCTTATACTTTCACTTTGTCCACTTTTGGTGTGCTATGAGGCTTTCTTTCAGAGGCACTTTACTATTTATATTCACCTCTGAATGAAATAGGGATGCATACTTCAATGACCTGGTGCAGAGACATCAAGGAAGTGACAGGCATTAAGCATTTACCTTTTTAGTTTGATTAGGGTGATCCAGAAGGCAGAAGTGACCAATGGTTGTCAGACCTTCCAAAAGGGTTAGTGGGTAATCGGGTGTAACATTTTCTCTTTTAGAAGTTGAGCTTTGGGTGGAGGATGGAAAGTAGGAGAGGGAAGAAAAATGAAAGGTTAACAGGCCAAATGGTATTTCCTTGATTCAAAATTCCTGTATACATCTATTTCTGTTCAACAGTTAAAATAATACTGGAATGACCAGCCAGGAATATCAAAGCAAAGGATTCAAGAACTATGCTTGGACAACCCTGTTTCCTTGTCTAGATCTTTTAGAATGTTATTCCCCCTCAACCATAAATCTTTAGTGTTCAATTATTTTTCCCTACTCCTTTCACTTACTGCCTGAACAGTATCACCATATTTTTCTTCTGCAGGGTGTCTCTCCTCAATTGCTTCACCAAAATCCTCACTCTAGTCAAAACTGGAAACTTCTTTTTTACTTGGCTGATGGTCAGAGGGGGACAGGACAACATCACAGCTGTTGGTCATTCTTGCTGCTTGTCCCCTTTCCTCTCTTCCTCCAACTGCAGTGAGCTCTACTCCAATAATACTGCCGACACCTCACTGGGCTCATGGGACAGATGGCTGAACATGCAGCAGGGTTTGAGGATCAACCTCTGAAAGCTACAGCATGAAACTAGAAAATTACTGTGCACTGCTGAGTAGTAAGGGGAACTTTTCAGCATAACAAATCCCACACTGCAGACTCTTACCTTGCTGGTGCTTTTGCTGATGTCTTCACAGCTTCATTTTCATACTGTTTGACAAGCTCATCCAGGTTTTTACATATCTGTACAACAAACGGTGCCACAGTCCAGCCTAAAGACTTCCCAAAATAGGGCAGAGAACTTGTGACTAAGCCTACCCAAGCAGGATGCATCCCATAGCCATACTCTGGTTGCAAACCTCTAACCACAGCAGAGACAAATAATCCCTGTGAAGTTATTGGGTGTGGATAGACATACTGCATGGCACCAATAGCCTGCTGGAAATTAAGAGCTTGCTGCCATTCCTTAGAGAGGTCTGGCTGATTCTCCTGCTCCTCATGAGTCTGTCTAAGATGGTGCTCCAAGACAATCAATATCTGCAAGAGCTTCAGCAACTCAATCTGGAGTGGGTGTTCGCTCCATATTTGATCATGTCCAAAATTGATCAGGCTCTCTTCAAAAAGTTCTTCTTCATGAACAGCACTGACTCCATCTGCCATAAGCAGTTCATAGCGTTTCTGACTTGTATACATAGATGCAGACAAAGAAAGAAGAACAAACTCCTGAATTTTGCATCTTCCCAGCAAATTGCGTATGAACTCTACGTTCTTATTCTCTGCTGCCTTTGCCATGGTAGCTAGCTGGCTCATCATTCTGATCAGAACTTCCACACTTTTTACCTGAACGTCTCTGTTGCCAAGCACATCTCTGTGCGTGACCTTCAAGTAGCACGGGTAGTACGAGCGCAGGAAACTGAGGCAGAGGTAAGTGAGCAGTTCTATTAGAAGAGAATGGGGACACATGGTTGGGGACTGAGCCTGCAGCTTGCCATAAAAACTCTGCCCCACAAGAGCTTCCTGATGGCGAGCTAAGAGATTGTAAATAAGATTCAAATGTGCTGTGGAGCTGGTGTCCATGCTTGTACTAGCTACAGCTTCAATAAATTCTTTAGGGTTTGTTTTAAGCACTGCCTCCAGAACAGAAAAAGCATACAGTACTCTCTTAGAATCATAAGGCTGCAGATACAACAGCATGTGTTTGAATAGAGCCTCAATCATTTCCTGCTTTTCCTTCTGCTGCTTGAGCAATCTAGAATGGGTAATTTCCTGGAGTTCCAGGTCCACCTCTTCATCACTTGACAGAGACTCTGATGCTTGAGTCCTCTCAGAGTCAGCACGCACAAGGTTTAGTGCTACACTGGATTTGGAGCTTTCAGGAAGGAAGGCGTTGAGACAACTCACACGGTTTGTGGTCTCTCTGCCATCAGTTGCAGCACTGTCATTGTCCTCATTGCTCACTTCTTGCAGCTCCAGAGAAGGAGAAAAAGAGGATGTATTTTCACTGTCGTGGCCTGTGCTGGTGTCTGCTGATTCTGTGTGCTCACTATTATCTTCGTCACCATCTGCTCCATGTGAAGTTACTGCATTACAAGAGCCATCATTTTCAGACTGTTCAGTTTTTAACTCCAACTTCTCTGGATCTCTTTCCACTTCTGCCCAAATTGCTTCTCTATCCACAGTAGTAAACTGGCTCAATGGAAGGTTTTCCTCAGAATTGCTCTCGGAGATGCCAGACTCTTTGAAAGAGGCCTTTTTCTTGCAAAGCCAATCATGTATACCATCTGAAAAAATAGTTGTTTTTTTTTTCCAAACAGAGTGTATAGTCATTCTTCTCACACAACATGCTTTATTTTTAGTAAGTCATTGCAAGGAAAAAAAATGTTAAAAGCTACTCTGCTCTAGTCTTCTATTAATTGTAATGACTGGAGCTAAAAAAATGGGTTAGGGCAAGAATTATCTTTGTTTTAAAGTGGTAGAGCAGTCCTAACCTACTGTAAGCACACTGATCAAAACACAAAGCACATGCTGTTTCTCTTATGCTGTGATTCCCTAGATGTGAACATTGTTTTTTATGCTTCCTGAGCATAAAATCTTTGTTGAGATCAGGAGGGAAATGAGAAGGAACAGAGGCATTTTAAAAAATGTTACATTTTTTTTAAGAAGAGCTAATCTTTTCCTTGATTACGTGCTGTGGAAAAGAAATAAATATATTAGCTCTGTGTTTGAACAGATCTAATGAACAGATCCCTTTGGATGCTATAAATTTCTGACATCTAATTGCCAATCAAGAGAGAAAAACAATTATGCAAGACAACAGGGAGGTTCAGAGTAATGACAGAGAAGTGACACACAATTTTGTTTGTACAAAACTACTGGATACTTCTCCACTGTCTTCCTACTCTGCTCTAGGAAACAACCTTGGCTACTTGGGCCAAATGGTGCAGTGTCTCATACCCAGACCGCTCCCAGTAATCCCAAACCTGATCAGACTGCCAGCCTGCACAGGACTCTGCATCTGGAGTGAATTCTGCCTCCATACCTGCCTCAGTCTTCCTCAGCTGCTCCCCACAGGTCTGTGTCATACTCGTCTGTTCCATGTTTGATGTTCAAATCATACGTGGTTCACAATGGTTCTTACTATGGGTCTTAAAATGGACACCTTCTGGAGATCAAATTTAGCCTACCAAGGTAAAGACGCCCTGCCATATTCTTAAATCTGATTGGCTTGAGGTCATCTTCAAATCCAAACATCTCTCCTTGATTCTACATCCTCTGGGATACTTCCAGACTTATGCCACACGGGCTCAGCTCTCCCCCTTGAATCAAGAGGGATCTTTTGGCCAACTCATTTTAATTTTTTGATCTTAGCAGAATTAGGGTTTTTTTTGTGTGTGGTGTGCCCTAAAAAGTAGGATGTTCCTCACAACCTGTCTAATTATTTTAACATGATGCTGAATAAAGAAACCTAGTATGAGGGTGCATGGTGTGCTGGGCAAGCCTGGGTGGAGAAAGTAAGTTTTGCCTGTCCATCCTGCCTACTGGAACAGTTCCTGGACTGATATAGTCACCAAACTGCTCCTGGATTTCTGTTGGTTGCAGACCTAGTTTTGCTCAAGAAGGGATCCTATGAACAGTGAACACACATGCTGTGTGGATCATCTGGGAACAGCAATGAGAAGTGTGGGACAAGATCCCAGAGCAAAGCAGGGAGCAATCCAAACCAACAGTGTAGGTGCAGCCACCATAATAGAAATTATCATTAGGCCTTCAACTAGCATGACTTACTCCTGAACTCTGTTTTATGCATCACTAGATGCTTGGATGAGGAAGAATCTATGGAACTAAGACAACGCAGGGTAACAAGGTGCCACTGGTACTTCAGAGACCACCTTCAGTAGGTGTTCAGGAGTATGCAATGCTATTTTAGCACTTACAGTTTCAGTCCAAGAACAGTTTTACCTGCTGAATTTTTCTGTTTGATGTAGTGGATGGACGTGCGCTGTGTCTTTGGATGAAGCAGCAGCAGCAGGACTGGTTCAAGAATCCGTGCAACATCATTAAGTGAAAGAGCACGGATCAGCCAGCCCTGTGCTGCAGCACCAATTGCACCATCTGAACAATTGAGACTGTCCAGTACCACAAACAGAGACCTGAGTGGAGAAATCAGAACAAAAAAGTACAGTTGAAATCCCTAAAAAAAGTTAACGCAAGGAACAAAACAGTGGCAGGGCACAGACAAAGCACATGTTCAAGTAAGCACCAGCCAATGGGTCACATCTGCTAACAGTAACTTGATCATGCACATTTTCCAGTTGAGATCAAGTCCACATGCATTTGTAGAAGCAAGGCCATACGTATACTCACAGTTTAGAAGAGCAGCATATTTTAAAGTTCCTTCATGTATTTACTGTAAAGACTTTTAATGCTTTTGTCTCATTTTATACAAGGGCTATGATAAAACCAGATATATATATTTTTTTTCCTTAAGTAGCTGGGTTCTATTTTCTTTGGAAAAAAATCTAGACCACTCCAAGATAAAAAAATATCTGCTATAAAGAAACTTGTCCACAAGCTACTCTTCATATATGATGCTCTTTCTATTTTTACAGAAACTGCTTTCACACAAGAAAATGCACCATGCACATGGAGTGCTTTGCAAAGATAATCATGCCAGAAAGTTGAAGAACTTCCTTTTGCTCATTTTTTGTTCTTTCTACAGAGAACTTTTTTCCCACCTCAGGAAAAAGAACAGTACAAAACATGTTATAGTTAAATATATAAATACAAGTCCAAGCCAATGGAAATGAAAAATACCTATCAAAGGACCGATTGTGAGAAGTCACTCTGCTGCCCTGGATCTCTCTGGTCAGATGCCACATGACAGAGAATCTGAACAGTGCTTCCAGCCTTGTCCCCTTTGCAAGGAAACAAGACAAATACATATATTTTTTGCAGTATTTACCTCATAATAAAGTTTTAGTGATTTTTAAACCTCTAGTAGAACAACAGTTATTGTATAGACCACTGCTAATCTTTCTTACAAAGTTTGAAAGCACTTTTCTGTTCTTCAGCAGACTAAATCAAAATGCCATATAGCCACGAATGCACAGCCAAAACTTAACAGCCACAGTGTTTGTAGTAGCAAAAAAAAGACACACTAATACACCAAAAATGTGTATCAGAACTCTTGTGTATAAACATTTTAGTCTTGGTTTTGCGTTAGGGGCATTTAAAAGTCAGATGACACACAGGAAGACACTGGCATATGAGGTAGTGTTTATTACTGATAATTTTGTTTGAGAGCTTTTAAAAGGTTTCCAAACTTCTAAGTTTCAAAATTGCAAGAGCAAATATACGAAAACAATACCAACAACTGAAGGTGGCTGTGCTAAGTTTTATTGTGCAAGGCACTTCTCACAAATATACTGTAAGTTATTAAAGAACTGTTCTGTCATTAAACTACGTAAGTAAAATAATTAGTAACTGGATCACTTAAAATACAGATTATATATTACGAAAGCTAAATACTAAGATGGACACAGGGTCAACATTATGTTGACACACACTTACAAGGATAATAAAGTCTTTTGTTGGAATAATAAGTTTACAAAATCAACACAAAATAAAATTATTTTAGAGTTACTGGTGGAGCTGGGTCAGTTTGGAAATACTGGCAAAAATGGTGAATTTTTAGATACCACATGATTTGGGCTGAAACTAAAAAAGCTTCAGCATTGACTCACAGAGCTTGTATCCAGGGATTAAGTTTAGCCATAGTGCCATGATAGTAATAGTCCCAGGGAACTGTAGAGTTGTGGACAGAGTCTGTTGGACTCTTGGAAGACAGAGAGACCACAGGAGTGAAGACGTGGGGTGCAAGGGAACTGGAGGCAGTCTGGGCAGCACAGGAACAACTCAACAAAGATGAAGGGGCTTCAGTGAGTACAGGACTTACTTTATCATGATCCAAAAGTGCATGGCAGATAATGTCTTCGCAGATATTTGCTGATGGTGCCAAGCAGTGCAGCCTGTAGAACAGTTCCACACAGGCAATATGATGCTCCCGTGTCTCTTTGTTCAGCTGATTCCAGAGGACACAAGCTACTCTCTAGGGAAAATAACAATGATTTAGAAAAATAATACTATTAGCCATTTCTTCCCCAACTTGACAGCTTTTCATTGCATAAATGCCCTCTATTACCAAAAGGGTTTTTTCAAATCATCTTAGTTTAGCAAAGAGCAAGAATTCAGGTAATACGGTCAGACCTAAAGCAATGTAACTTTCCTGCCCTAGTAGGTCAGGTAATTCAAATGTACATGTATCAGAAATAAAAAAGAAAGCTTTTCTGCTTCTGTTTTCTGGGTCAAAACTTAACAGGTTGTATATGTTAGGCACAGCAATTGGAAACACAGTAATTAAGAAAAAGATCTTGGAATCAACACTCATATCAACACTAATATCAAGGAATGGCCAGGAGAAGGAAAGCATCTTTGAGATATATATACTCAAAACGAGGAGGATGGAATGTTTTCATTATTATTCACCCACTAACATTTTCTCTCATCTGAAAACTTAAGAGTGGTACCAAAGTACTCTAAAGGGTAACTTTCAAGCTAATGAAACCAAACCCTTCAAGTCAGAAATCAACTGTGGTTATTCAACATTAATTTGGACACTATACCATTTTAAAGCATTAAATCATTTGAAAATAACCTGCTGCTTTTGAACATCCTGTTGGGAAGCACAAAAAGAAGAATGCAATTACTTTCAAATGCTTGTGGAAGCAAAAGATGGCAGTGTCTCATTACCACACAAACATGCTGCCCCAAACAGTCATGCAAACAACATTTGCTTTCCCATCCCATCCTTAGAGGTTCAGTGTAGTTGGGCAGTAAAAGAGAAAAAGAGAAGTGACACCTGGTAGAAATCTGTTTTTTCTGAGATGATCTTTAGAACTCCAGGAGCAATGGGAGGAAGGGTGACCATCTGTAGCTTTCCGAAGAAGGGGTTGTGGCCGGACGCTTTGTACCGCTTAATTCTGTCTTCTATCACAAGTGCCAGTGACTGGGAATGGTTGATCACCTCCAGCAGTGTGAAGATGGACACGTTCTGAACATAGCAGTCATTCACACAACAGCATATTGTCATTAAGGACTTCAGCCACAGGGGGAAGCTGGCATCACAACCTTCTCAGAAGTGAGAAAAAAAAAGTTTTTTTAATGATCTCAAGGTCATGGTCACATTTCCAAGAATTCTTCAGTCAAGCTCATGGCACCAAGAGACAAAAATGCCTGATCAAATCCAAATGTCATGCTATCATCAAGTCTCTTACTTCAGAAGGGACTTGCATCAAAGCAAGTTATATCTTTTCCCTATTTCTCTCAGCAGAAAGCTCTTGCAGGACCTCAGTAAACTAGTAACCGGTGGACTCCTGCTCTCCAGGGTATGTTTATTCACAACTAGTTTTTACAGGTTTTCCAGCTGTCACTGTCAGAAACAATAGAGGTCTGCTGTTCCAAGGATGTTCCTTCAGCTAGCACAGAGGCATACCATTTCAGAAACCATGAATCACTAAAGGAACTGATGTGGCTAACAGCAAGTCAAGTCATCTTTGTCTCTCCTGAAGGAATAATCACACACAGTTTCTTAAGGTGTTACTGGGAACAGTCTGAAGTACAAGCTTGCACGTCTGGTTTAAAATGCAAATGTTTTAACTGTTTTGCTAGCACAACAATACAATCATTCTTCCTTCTCCACCTCTGACAATTTCTGTATCACATTCACCGAATCACAGAATTGTCACAGTTCATAGAATCATCCTGGTTGGAAGGGACCGTAAAGATCATCAAGTCCAACCATAACCTAAATCCCCCTACCAAAACCTGATTTACCCATTCATCATATCCCTAAGCACTGTGCCTACATTTATTTTAAACACTTCCAGGGGTGGTGACTTGACCACTTCCCTAGGCAGCGTGTTCCACTGTCCAACCATTCCTTTGGTAAAGAAATTCTTTCTAATATCCAGCCTTAACCTCCCCTGGAGCAACTTCAGGCCATTTTCTCTTGTCCTGTCATTATTCACTTGGGAGAAGACGCCAGCTCCCACCTCCCTACAACCTCCTTTCAGGTAGTTGTAGAGAGAAATGATGTCTCTTAGCCTCCTTTTCTTCAAACTAAGCAATGTCAGTTCCCTCAGCCTCTCCTCATAGGACTTGTTCTCCAGACCTTTCATGAGTTTTGTAGCTCTTCTCTGGACATGCTGCAGCAACTTTACACCCTTCTGGTAGAGAGGGGCCCAGAACTTGTGTCTTGTGTCTTGCAAATGGTCAAGCTCACACTATTTGCATCCTCAGATGCTCAAGTTACCCAGTAAAGGAATCTTTTCTTACCCGGAACCTGAAATAGAGAGAGATACAACTGTTCCATCTCCTCCTCCGAAAGATAGACTGGGAATGTGGTACAATCCAACAAAAGGTGACAAGCCGCAGCAAAAGCTTCCCTGCAGTCACCTCTAAGGGGTCCCAAGACAAGCATCACTTGTTCAAAGTCCCACTCTTCCTCCTCCTTTCCCTTTTTACTATCAGAGCTGTGGTCAGAAGGAAGAGGATTAGAACTCCTGTTCTTGAATGGTGACCCTCGAACTGAGAACAAGTCTGAAAGCATTTGTTTAAATTGAGGTACAGTGATTTGCTTTGCATCCCATGGGCTCTTTTTCTTGCTAGCACTTTCAGGTAATCTGTAGCCATTCTCTTTTTTCTCTCTTCCGCTCAGATTCACTGCTGAGATACTTTCGTTACTTGTTTCTTGAAATTGCACCCCAAAAATGTATTTACTGGAAAACTTGGAAACCAGATCTTGCATGCAATTCAAAGTCTTCTGAATGCTCCCCCCTTTCTTCCAGACATCATCTCTCTCAAGGGTCACAGCTGGCACTTCCAAGTGCTCAGAGAGCTCAGGGGAGGAAGCACTGAGACCAATGCCACTGTCTTCTGACTTCAGGGGAGGGAATGCAGTCTCATCCTCTTCCTGCAGCACAGACTTAGTCCCCAAGGTTATGTCCACATTTTCCTTTTTCACTGGGCTCTAAAACAGGAATGTTAATGTGGTTAATATGGCACAGCATAGATAATTTTAAACTATGTAGAACTGTGGCAAGCACTGGGCAACAGCAATCACAGAAAAAAACCCAAACCCTGGTACTTACAATTTCCAGGCACAGACTACTTTTACAAAATCATAAGGCATAAGTATTTCTAAGCAGTTCAGTTCAATTGCATTTAATACCTAACAAATGTTTGTATAATCCTCACACCTTGACTCATCAAATACCAACAGATGCATAGGTACCTAGCAAATGAAAATGTTTCCTTAAAATAAATTAACTACTAGAAGAGCATTACATATGTTGGATTATTTCTAGTCAAATGCATGTATTTGTTCCACTGCAAAACTCTGGCAGGCTGTGCTCGTTTGACTGCTTTATGCCATCTATTCCTCATTCCCTATCATGCTCTCTTGCACACAAATAATACCACATTGTGTTAAACTAAAATATTAATTGAAAGCCTTGCAGACCTAACCAGCTGTAAAGCTGGGCTTGATTTGGCAACTTGACTCTTCAGCAACTGCATAGTTACATGCCTTTCAGAACCATTAAGATTATGTTCTTCTAAAAAGGTATTATAATAGCCCCAGTTTCAGACAAGAGTATGCTTTTTCACAAATAATTCAAACAAGTCAGAACTGAATACCCAGTAAAAATAACCAGGCATTATATAGCTCTGGAAGGGGCCAAAGAAGATAAGTTCCAAATATCTTTATTGCTGCAGGTATATTCTAGGTTAAAGTCAGGAGAATTAGCTAGTTAGTGTTATGCCACTAACACTTTTAAACATCTATGAGTAGCTGTAAAACACTTACCCCATTTCCACTTCCTGTCTCAGTGTCCAAATAGGAAGGTGGCATTTGCACTTTGCTAAGCACCTTAAAACAGGTCTTTAAGGCATGAGTGAGTTCTGGTAAACCTAATACTTCCATATTTTCCTGGAGAGACTGCACCATATAACTGAGCATCTGTGGAAGATACTGAGTCTGCACTTCAGAGTAGAGTTCCTAAAATAAATAAACATTGTTTAAAATAGTTATCACTTACTATTATTCAGCTCTCCAGCAAAACTGATCATTGATTAAGTCCGTTCATGAATGGCAAACACTTAATCACACCCTAAAAATCTTATGACAGTCAGCCAGCTACTGAGAGACCAAAAAGTCCCAGGAAATGATGTACCCAACAAGCAACAAGTACACTTTTTCATCTCTGTGACAGAATCACCATATGTTAAAATGCAAAATATTTTTATTTTGCTAGGCAATAGCACGGGTAGCCATATACAAATTAGCACATAAAACTATACTCTGCACAACATGCATATGTCAATTAGCCTATGTCAATTTCAGTTATTTTAATTTAATTTACTTAAAATTTCAAAGCAGTTAACTTCAGGTTGCCTTACCAAAGGAATCACGTCAAGAAGAAACACCAAGAGTGTGCAGAGCTCTGAAATTGTAGGAGGAGTGCTAATATTTTCAAGAGGATATCTCATCTGTGTGGATTTACTTCTGGATTGAGAGAAACATTGTTATGTAAGCTTTTTTCCTGTCAAAATTCTTGTTACAATAAAAAAGCTTCATTAAAACCAGCACAAAATACTAAACAGCTAGCCTTTCTGAAGCAAAGTACCAGAGGACTTCTAATACAGCAGGATAAAACGTTCCACAAAAACCACCTAGATTGTAGCTTGCATGTGGAATACTAAAGTGCTTCAGACTGAATCTTCATATGCAATCTTATTACTTCAAGCATAATATTCTCTGTTAAATTTAGGAAAAAAAAAAGAAAAGTATTTTAATTTTTCTTCAAAAGACACTTGTTCTTCCAATGAAGACCTCTCAAACTCTGTCCTCCTTGAGATGTTATTTTGAAAGTAATTCCTTTTGTTCTCAGTTTGCTTGTTTCCATCTAATTGTTTGCATTCTTGAATTATTTTAGAATGGAACTTACATATCTGTCTGATTCTAACATGTAATATGTCCTTTCCAGAATTTAAATGCTTCAGTAAACTTTATTATCTTACACAGATAGTTTCTAAATGGCAGTTTTAAGAGGAGCACTATTGTTTGACAGCATAAACACCTGAAACAATCTTCAAAACATCTGGTCATGTAATCCCAAAGAAAATCTGTGCTTAAGGATGTGATCAGCAAATTGACTGTTTTGACAATTTCCGAAGCATTTTTGTTCTCTTTGATTGCACTGTGTGAAAGGGAAAAAAAAAGGAAAAAAAGAGAAACAGATGTCAGTGAAGATTCTAAGAGCATGCACGTCACAGTACTAGCTGATGTGTCCTAAAATCTTTCCCACCCCCTTCTCTGCAAGCTAAAAGACATTGATAATTTAAAATCAAGGACTAAGTAATTCTGGAATAGCTAGAGTTTGAGCATTCTTCTCCCATATGAAAGAAATCAAGCCTTCAACTTTGAAAATCAAAAGGCTAAGATTTCTGTCACCAGAGTGATTCCTAGCCAATACAATTGGATTTAGTCAACACCAGCCATATGGAGGGTGCTTCATTTTCTTCTCTGCTAATCAAAGACAAATGAAGCATGTGTGGGGTAAAAGAGAAGTCAGAAAAATACCATCCTCTGTACAGAAGGCCATTGTGTTAAAATCCTAACCTTCCTTAGACTGGGTAGATTTTAATAAATCAGTTTAGTATAAATGATTCCATTCATAATTGAACACATACCTTGCAAGTATGTTGCCACTTTGATTGTAGCCGAGTTTGAGATCACAGCCAAGTGCATCTTTGCAGTATGAATAAAAGGCTCTAATAACTTCAAGGAACAGATCCCCAACTACCTGTGGCCCTGCAATTGAAGGAAAAAGAAATCTAGAAATTGCACCAAAGTGACTGCTAGGCAGCTCAGTTATGAACCTGTACAGACTTCAGTTAAGGGTAACTAGACTAGACAACCATCACCCAAATAGGAAGAAAATGCTTACATGGCCTTTTGAGATGTCAGATGTTTCAGTTAAAATAAAATTAAACATGTGGGATTTTAAAAAATTCTAATTAAACCCACCTGTTGTTAATTTTAGGAACTTTTTAAAGTGATACTTGGAAAGCCATAGCACTCGTTCTACACGACACTTAACTCCCTTCAGTAAGGTACCTACACTGCAATAAATTATAAGTAGGCATAATCATAACTGTAATCTGCAGGTCACATGCCAAAAATAAGCATCATGTCTGAATCCAAAAGGAAAACAAGCAGATATCTCAGTACTCATTTAAGATAGTAGCCTTGATAAAACTGTGAGGCACAGAAGCTAGAAAAATTGGCAAATTGAGGATGTTCAAATGCCTAAATATATATTTATATTAATGCATATTTATAAACAGTTTTAAGAAGAACATACTAATTAGGTGTGTGCTGACAACTGCACCAAATTTTCAAGGGTTAGTACTTCTTTTTTAAATCTGAAACATAATACCCTCCCCAAAAAATGTAGTATATAAAGCATTCCAATGAGTGATTCTAAAATGGAAAATAAATAATTAAGATGACTAAGAGTAGCAGAAGAGATCAAAGATTCTTGTTATGTTTTAGTTTACTATCTTTAAAAAGAAAGTTGCATTACTAAATCCATTTCAAAAGGAAGTTCAAGTCGTATTGGCTTAAGGCTGGAGAAGTTATATTTTGTGTGCTGACTGGAACATAAAGATTAAACTGTGTAATGCAGTTCAGCTAAATAACTTCTGTTTGTAGTTCAGATTAACACTGTCAGTCAAAAAAAACACAGAATAGGGTAGCATCTGTCAGATGCTTTCTAAATTAGATTAATGAAGAAATTAATAATGTAACCACCTTAGTGAAGTGTCTCTTCTTAAGCATTTTTGTTAAGAAATACAAATGCTTCATATAAGAGGCTTTAATAATGGTAGATTTTTAAATAAACCACAGCTAAAACCAGAAGGGAACATTAGCACCACTGTCTTCTAAACAGTCTAACAACTGCTTCCACTAAGACAGCATTCATTTGTTAGATAAGCAATCCAGAATCCTCATTTTTCCTGGCAGTTCTTTGATAATTCTTTTACAGAAAATGTGCTTAAGAGGACCTCCCTGACTCATGAAAGAGGATAAGCTCACCAGCTATAAAAGCCTGTAAAACCAACTGCCACTCGAGTTTTTAAACTTAGTATATGAATTTTAGTCTATGTCCAAAAGCTTAGTCAATGGTAACATCTCTGCCCCACCCAGGACAATATCTAGACCAATGCTTTGGGATACACTCAGTCCTTAAGATTCTGTTAGCTTCTCAAAAATAGCAGTTAACCAGTCTGTAGACTTTTGATACTGTCGGATTCACAGAATATAATTTCAAAGATTTATCTGCACGTGGTTCTTACAGAGTACTATTAAATCCTAAAAAAACTGTCAAGTCACTCTGGCTTAATTTTTTGATGCAGAAAGGAGAGCTTGCCCTTTAAAATACGGGGTGGCAGAGCCTCACCCTTCTGGTGCTGGGACATCATGTACACAACAGGACAGACATGTGACAGTGCGGGAAGAGGAGGAAGTTCTTCACAGCTCAGTCATGAAATCTCAAGCTACAGCACAGCAGCACCAGGCCAGCACAAGCTGGCAGTGCCACTGACAGAGGCACTTCGACCTCCCCACACCAGCAGCAGGTTATTTCCAACAAAGCACCTGCTGGTAAGTGGTAGTGGCCACTTTGGCAGCCGTACCACCACAGGCTGGCTCCCTGAGGGACTAGTGTCTGGAAAAGCAACACAGTCATAAGAGTCTGATGCAAGTGGTACCGGAAGGCTTGCAAGCACAGCCAAGCACTGGAAACAAACCCAGGCAAGAGCAGTACTGGTGGATTTCCAGATAGAAGCTGCTTTATGAAACTGAACTGAAAGAAGCCTGACAGTATTTTAGAGAATAAACTCCCAGGAACAAAATGAGCAGAATATTGAGACTAGAGCAGAAGTGGTTCTTTTTAACTAGCCCTTCAGATCACAGTTCTGGACATGGAAGAGCATTATCCTTACTCGGATACATCCATGCTACATAAAGGAGTGCTCAGCAGAAGAGCCACAGGCAACCCGGAGCGCCCCAGAGCACTCTTCTGAACCAGGTCCAAGACAAGGAACACAGCTCCTTGCACACTAATGATACAACACACACATACTTAGAATTAGGAAGAACTGTGCAGGGTGGTGTTTTGGGTCCTACTGCCAAAGCTGAAGAACACCAAGTTGTAACAGTTACTAGCAGTCATAACAGAAGGCACATGCAACATTACCTATTTCAGGTTTGTCAAGGAGACTGATTAGGATGCGGAAGGGTTTCAAATAAGCTTGATGCTGTTCCTCTGTATCAGACTCTGGAAATTTCTGATGTAAAATTTCAGTCAAACTCTAGTAAAAAGAAAAGATGAGAATGTTACATGTCAAAGAGAGATTGCCATTTTATTAAGACCTGAAGTGTTTCTAAGTTTGATTTTGTTCAGTCCTGATTACAACTGAACTTCAATTTTCCATACAAGGAAGACAAATCAATGATATCTCATCGTCTGTACTCAAGAGCTGATCTTATTCAGAGAAGTATTTTTAAATAATTCAGATAGCTCATCAAAGATGCTACCCTTTGGTTTCATTAGATTCCATTTGTATTGTAAGCACATACATTATTTGGATCAATGCAGCACAGCAGGCATTCAGATAGATGAAAATACAACCACCAAAAGGATGTTATCTTTATAGAGACAGAAAGCAAAAAACAAACCAAGTGGCACACAGAACAATTCTAGATGCATTTTACACTAACATTTAAAATATTCTAAATACATCTGTGTACAATAAACACCAACCTCAACTAAAAGATCTTTAGAATATTTTCCAAAAAAATAAATAGCATGGTCTTCAGACGTTGTTGAGTCTGGAGCAAAAGTACCACCTTTCATATCAGAGCCTACAAGATAAACAAGAGTCATGAGTAGTACAGAAAAAGACTACAGTACAGAGCATTATACACTCATCATGTATACATATATTGAAATGACACTGCATTTTAACCTTTGTTGTTTCAACACTTTGCTTGAAACTAGCTCACATACTGCTTAGGGGCAGCCCAGGTATCACAGTTCAAGGCATCCAGATGTGTTATATGGAACATAAATCAAAACCAAGGCCAGATCCAGACATGGGATCAGCAAGGACAACCTTCATGCATGGCTGCAGATCTTGCCCTGTTACTTTTACCCTCCTCTTAATGCTGTTAAAAGGAGGCAGACGGGGAGAAGCTATAGCTACAGCCCACGTGATAATTAATAGACTAGTACTTCCAAAAGAGCAAGATTTAAACAGTGCTCCGCTCTTTTCAGTCCACTGAACCACTTGAGAGTGAGCTGTGGATGGGACCGGAAATAATTCATCAGAGCCTTGGGTGTCAAGACAGTGAAATTAATCCACCTCTGAAGAGAAGACCTGTTCGCCAAATAAATACTTAATTTTACTAAACCGGTCATTAATAATGAAACAACACTTTATTTTATCAACATTTATTAACTACTGAAAAAGTGCATTGCGTTTTTAAGCACTGATTATTTTTTTATCTTGGGTACACAGGATAGTGACTATCACTCTATGTGGTACAGTACCTAGCAACCATGCGTATAATCTTCTATTGAGTGACATGTCTCTCCTCAACAATGTCTGTGTAGCTGCTGACAGAACACAGACTAAATCAGTCCTGCGCAACGGAATAGTGCTCTCATTGCAGTCCTAAGATGAAAAACAAAGATACTTTAGCTGTTGATGAACACTGAAACAATTCAGATTGGTAATGAGGGGTTTTTTTAACTGGTAATATGAATGTTTTGGAGAAAAAAGGCAACTCACCATCAACAAGAAAATATTTCGTGTACTAAAAATCTCAAGAAAGGGAATCTGACACTATTGTGATAATTTTTAATATTTAAAGAAAAGAGCTACATTTAAGCTAAAAATACTGAAGACTTCATTATGTTATGCCTTAAGACTTAAAATGACCTGCTACTTTCTAAAGTACTCACTATACTTCTAGGTAAGTTAGGAAATATGGGGAAGAGCTATTTTTTCAATTAATATTTTCTTTACTAGTCCTTAACAGAAGTATCTTAGTTTAGCACAAACAATTCCAAATGCTGAAATCCTACTTGGAAAAGGAGCTCTATATTTTTTCCATATGTAACTTTTCAGACCTGAATACTTCAAACACATTCCAAATACCACATCATATTCACTGTGAAAGCACATCTTCATTTGAAGCTGTAAGGAGTCTGAGAAGCAGCAGAGTCTCCTCTACTATGCATATTGATGGAGGAACAAGAAACTGCATCATCGATTTTGAAGGTACAGAAGTCAGACATTTGGCAGTGACAGAGGTAGGATCTGGATTGGCATCCCAGAAGACACCTTCCTCCACAAAAGTGTGTGTGCTGCAATACCAAAATAGTCCTCTTACCAAAGCTGTATAAAATGGGAAGAAGAAGAGAATCACTTCTAGAGTGTTTCTTTGCACAAGGACGTTTGAATCCAATACTGATACACACAAAGACTTCATCTGTAAAAGGAAAAGAAAGTACAACTGTGTTTTACTTCACAATAATATTTAAACTACAATCACTGTTAATAATCACAAGAAGGAAAGAGAACAAACTTGGTTACGTGTGAATAGTACATTTTAAAATAAGAGGACAGGAAGCCATTTAACTCCATCTCCCAAAATGAGTTAAAAAAAGTTTTGTGGAATACCGTTAAAAGAATCATTAATACTTATGAAATACTTGGTTTTGTAACACTACAGACTGTCACAGTGTAACATCACCAGCTTTCAGACAGAATGTGAAGCCTCTCAAAATGCAGATATTAAAATACTCTAGCTAGCACCCCAGTTACTTAATCACTCAAGTTTAACACAAGTTACTACCTACTGAAGAATTCCATTTTACTGAAAAAAGACAGTAAATTTCAGAATTGTCTTCCAGGACTGCAAAAGCTTTTGGAGAAATCCACATTAAACATTGTATATACTGTATTATGGGAAAGCTGGTCTTCAACCTTAAATGCAAATTCAGAACAAGTAGAGAAAAGATGACAAATTTATCTTCTGATTTGAAACAGTCAGTCTTTTAAGGCTGCATGCAGTACTGATTACCAAAAACCGCAGAAGCTTCAGGAAACTTGCATTCTGCATGCTAACCAGAACTAGTATGGGAGATTCTCTGCTATATTTCAGGTAAGATGCTCCCATGAAGTAACTGTATTAAATAATTCCATCAGCCTCTCATTCTCTCTCTCTAAAATATTTTTAAGAGCATGTCACTCGAATACAGAGAAGGCACATTCTGCTATTCAGCGGGTATTATGGTAGATAAGACTGTTCTATGAGGAGTGCAGTGAACTTACTGTGAGTTTATAATCCGTGCCAAGCATGTACTTCTGCTGTTTTCCAGATAGCTCTCTGTTGATGTGGCTGACAACAAACAGAGAAGCAGGCAGCCTGATGGATGGGCTGACCAGGACACTGCCCCAGAGTGCTCCGTAAAACACTTCTTGGCCCATCAATAAGGACAGTTTCACAAACAGAGCATCTGTTCTGTGTGGAAATATAATTGACGTGAGAAAATAGATTTTTGTTATTTCAGTTTTATACCACAAAAAGACAATTATACACAGAATTAATAATGTAGTTGACACGATTTAATTTCATTTCCTTATCTTTGTACCATTAGTATTGCCCTTTTCATGTGCAGATGGCTAGCATCTGATTGTACAAAAACAATTAAAAAAACACTCCTTTCTCAATGTGCACACTCACTGAAACAAAGCTTCTGTGCACATTTTGGAAGCTTCTCCAGTAATTATCTGCAAACATTAAGCTCTGACCAAATTACTGCAGAACCTCTGAGTGCAAAATATTTACAGTGAGAGGTGTGCAATGCTGAATTGGAAGTCATTTAAGCTGATGTAGACTCTGAAAGCTGATTTTATCAGTTTGAGAACTGGAAGATATCCTGTATATTTGTAATTAAAAATCAACGGGCTTAATTTTAAGTCACTGAGTGGAAGGAAAAAAAAAAAAAAAAAAAAGAGATAAAATGACAGGCTGTCAGTTATTGCACACAGGACCAGTAGGCAGAAATTAGTTTAAAGGCAATCACATTGGAGATCCTATGACAGAAGGCACATCCTCTGACTTAGCAACTCTGTCAGTACTCCAGTATTTTACTATAAAGTAAGAATTAAAACCTCACATGAGGAATGTAGAAAGGAGAAAACAGTAACAAGTCCAGCATACAAGAGGGAACATCCCCAATCTGAAGTTCTTTTCCATTTCTTGATAAAGTATCCCTCAAGCCATTTTTTCTTTTCTATTTTGTGTGTGTGTGCAAACTCATACATATGTATCTGTTTAAGAAGGAAAGTTTCTAGAATGAGGCATGACATGAGCTAGTATTTCTGCCACTTCCAAGAACAGCAGGGGATATATTAGTGTTAGTCCTCAAAGCTGAAGACTAAGGATGTTCAGTGGAGAGTCCCTCATGAAGACAAATTTAAAATTAACACATCTTTTTACAAGATATCTTGGTCTGTCTTTTTTGCACCAGACTCCTCATGCTAAGTAAACTAAAGAAAGACTTTCTTGTGTAATTTTTATATTTCACAAAATAAAATTAAACTAATTTTAGCATAAATTTTTGACAGTGAAATACAGTTCCTGTTTCTGATCCTGTTCGTTCAAGGCAAAGGAAACAATGCCACGAAGAGTAGGGAAAAAAGGTATAATAAAGCCATAAGTCTGATCTTGGAAGTTAATCTGCAGTTCCCATTAGCTCACTACTTTTTAGTCAGTTTCAGAATAAGCTGTCTCCCTAAAAAGGCTTCAGATGGACAGGAGATTTAATTCCAAGGGATCTCCTTTTTTCCCCCACACCCCCAGCAACTAGTGCAGTTGGAAAAAGAAAACTACACCAACACTTATAAACCTGCCTGACAAAAAGCACATACTGAAACTCATGTTCCTACAGCAGATGTTTCAGAGGTATATACCTATCCATAGATCTGATGTTCTGGAATTGGCAAAACGCTAATCACCTAGTTGGGAACACAGTTACTCCAGCAATTGATATGAGCCTTCCATTTAAAACTTGTTTTTAAAAAAGAGACACTAGATGTAGAAGCAATTTGCTAATCAGCTGTAATCTATGCAGCCTATTTTTTTAATACATTTTTTTAAGTGTAGACACAGCTATTTAGGATTCAAAAAAGGGCAAAGAGAACTGCCAACACATCTAGACTGGTAATGTAGAAGGAAGTAAATTACCAATGCAACCTTTAGTGACTCGTTAAGCAAAGAAACATTTGGATTAAACTTAGAGTGGTTAAGTTCTTTTAAGATCTTACAAAACAGTTCTGGCAACTGAAGTAAAACTGCTACACAAGAGGGTGCTGAGCTGGTCTTCTCAGCACACTTCCTGATCCTAACTTTATATTACTGAGTGTCATTGTCATGACTGCCAGGGGCACCCAAGAGTGAGAGAGATTCTTTTTTCCACAGTAGATTTTAGAAGTCACCTCTTGCTTGTGTTTTTCAGAACCTGTGAGTGAGTATTTGGTATAGGAAGACTGGAAAGAATTCAGCTGCTCTCTCATGTTACAATATTTAAATTTAATTTATTGACGAAGCAGTGGTTTGGAGAGTCAGGTTAACTACTTAGGAGTTCAGAGGAGCATTAAGGAATAGTTTTTATTCCTTTTTCTCAGCACATCTATTTTAAACCTCCTTTTCCTCTTAATTCCTCTTCTCCTGAGATTAAAATAGAAGGGTAAAGGGTTTTCTTACAGTCAAGACTCCCCATTCTTCCACCGTTAGAAGATCTTTTATCAAGCCTTCTATATAGAGAGCTGAGAGAAATGTCTTGAGAATTCCCTAGGAAAGCAAAACACTGTATATTGTTTTCAAATTAATACTAGTTCTCACCTGTCATAAATTTCTGATCCTTCTTCCAATCCAGGCAGTAATCCAATTACAAAGGCTTGAAGACCAGGTAGGAGGGACTTTTGAAGAGGAAGAAAGTATTTCTCGTACAAACCAAGGAGAACAGGCCTCACTGACATTGCTGCATTTGCCAGCAGAGGAAACAAACCAGAGCTTTGTGGTTTGTTTGATTTTTTTTTTTAAAGAAGAAAAAAAAAAAAGAAAATTATAAGGAAAAAAAAATTTAATTAAAATACTCTGAAATGCATACACCTTTAAAGAAAAGTTTACCTGTACAAGAATAAATCCTTGGCAAGCCATTTTGTCCCAATAATTTTAAAGATTATTTCATAGGTTTCTAGTGCCTTTAAATGCACTCCACTAGGTAGTGCTGGATGCAAACACTGAGATAATCTTTTACTGATGATCAGCCGTCTTGGCAACAGAGAATACTTCAGGTTACTCTGAAGAGCCTATGGAAGAAAGGAGGTGAAAATAAATAGCTATACTGTAAAAGATGATGCATATGATGACTGCATATCAAAGGTTTCCTACTAGTACACTGAGAACTAAATGCCTACAGGAGTCTTCTCCCAGGGATGCATTTTGTTACATTGAAACAGCAGAATTCTGCCACTGAGTTTTCATATGGAAGCAGTCATGAGCAATCTTGAAAAGTCTGGTCTTACTTTGCTTAGCAGCTAGAAATAGAAGTTAAAGGACACGGTAGAGCCAGGGAATTCCTATCTTCAGTGGAAGCACAGAAATGGCAAGAAGAGCATCTCAGCTTTTAAGCACAGGGGACACCATAAAAAATAATTAACTCTCTTTCCTCAAAAATTTTCATTTCAGGTATAGCAGAAATATAAACAAAAAACCTTCCAGTCAAAGCTGGACAAGGACATCTTACAAGTTACTTGCAAATCTGTGTGGCTACCTTCTGTAAGCTGCTACATTTTACAAAATACAGCTACATTTTCTGTAAGCTACATCTGTCAACACAGTCAACCACCATGTTGCCAGGTAAGTAAAATATCTTCAGGAGAGGAAACAGTTAACTAAGTATTGCAGACAGGCCAGGTCTCTGGAAAACAAATTGTAGCACCTTCTTTGGAAAGATTACCCCTTTCTTTGAACCATGCTGCGTTTCAGCAGGGTAAGCGAGTGCGTGTCTTCAATTCAGAGACAATTAAAAAAAAGGAGTTGCACGTAAATGACGCTTTAGCCTTTGATCACTGCCTGCTAAGCAAACAGACGTTTCACTGCACGTTGACATTTGGGATGTTTCCAGGATCAGGCAAATTCTTGACTCTCTCAAAGGTTAAGTCACGGTCTTGTCCTACCTTTATGCTTTAAATTGGAGGTTCTTCTACCCTTCCAGAAAAAAAGGTTTTTATAAAGCAGCAGACAAGTGAGCTAACCCTTCCTTCTTCACCACCAAGAAAAAAACAAAAGCAGTTCAGAGAAGACCATGGCATTCCCTTGAATGCTGAATACTGTCAGCAGCCATAAGAGGTAAAATCCATCATCTTTCAAAGGTGTATACAACTTAGCACTTAAAACACGGCAGCTGGTGGGCAAAAGAAGCTACAGTCCGTGAGACTACTTTTGTGTTATTCTCCCATTCGCTCTCCTGCCTAAACTGAGAGACCAGCTGTTAGTAAAAAGCTTTCAGCAAGTAAAATTTACTCAAGAAGAAAAAGGCTGAGAGCTCATAACAATGGTAAATAGAAATGTCACACCATGTTCAAATATGTACAGTAGCCATTTAGAGCAAACTGATTTTCTTCCTTCCCTCACTATAAGCATGAGAGTTGCACATTAATAAGTACTAAAATTAAAATCCAATACCAGAGAAATATTTCACATATGAAAATAAACCAATTTATATTTGTGGAATTTCATATCTCTTATATTTGAAAGGTTTACTCATATATTGCATGAGTAATATTATTTCCATAGCAAAGATTAAAAACCTTAATACTGTAGTAACTATGAAGAGTGCTTGAAAGCTGGACTTTGAAACGTTCTGTTTATATTGGTTGGTATGTATTTGCCCACACCCTCTGTACGTATACAAGAAGTAATTACAAAAACATATGCCCATTGTCAATATTTTCCCTCTCAATCTTAAGATTGAACAAATGTTGTTTTAATACTCTATGAGTTAAAATTTAAATGTCAACTAGGTAGAAAATGAAAATATTCATTGTTTAATACATAGAGAATCTGATCCATTATAGAAATAATTACATATCATTAAAAATGTCTTTTTTGGCTTATTTAATTTCCTGTGGATGTGAAGTAAATCTGCCAGCAAATAAGAACTCTCCTCCTCCAGAAACCTAAACATCTAGTCAGAAGATGAAAAATACTCCAGGTATATTAGGAGTTGAATAGTGGATATTCAGGCATAACTGAATTCTCCTGGGTAACTCTGGAACTTTCTTATGTCCCAATTCCAGCAGGTGAGACTGACTTAGAACAAGACTGCATACATGTAAACATGCCAACTATACTGTTTTGCCTAAATAATCAGAAGACATCTCTGTACAGGAAGCAAGATTCAATGACATTTATTATGATCCACCTACATAAATTGAGGAGTTTCTGACCGTCACATCAGAATGATTCTGAGATGAAACTCCCTTCTCAAAAATACATAAACTTTTTTTCTGACTTGCGTTGAAGAAATACTCATTTAGACACAAACTACAATTCTTCTCAAGAGTGGGTGTTCCTGGTTAACTGTTGTGTCTGATCTTCAAGTAGATGCAAGGGATTTTAAACCACACTGCAACACATTGTAAGACCTGATGCACCAACAACCACTCCAGAAGAGAGGTGGGCTGGCTGCTACTTGGCTGAAAGGTTCAGGTTCATAACAGCTTCCCCAGAACTGCAGGGCTCAAAGAATTTTAAAAAGCTTGAAAGGCATTAGTTAGCAAATGGATCTGAAATTGTTCATTGAAGTAAGAGTGGCATGTTAATACACATATTTCCAAATGCTAATTAGTTTCTGTGAGTTGACAGGCAAACTTAAGAAGCTTGATTTTTAAATACCTTGAGCTCTAAAGAATCAGTTGCCTATGAGATCTAGTATTACTGAAATCCATTATTTCAGCTGTTACGGGTAGGTAAACTATGTGGTGGCAAGCCTGGTATCATTGGCACTGTATGCACATGAAGATCCCATCACAAATTATTACTTTTACATTCAGGATCAACACCAACAATTGCAGATGGACAATTGTGCCCATAGGTTTCAACACCTATTATTCACAAATTCTTTTGATTCTTGTAAGGTTATTTGCATAGAGGCTGAAGCCCAGCCATGATCTGCTTTTCCTCCTTATCTCCAGCTGCTTTTCACATGAGCAGTTTGGTGTCAGAAATGTTAAATATCACTGGAACTGCTAATAAGGGTTGGCTTCAGAAGCCTAAAGGGCCAGCAAGCACTGCATGCTTAATATACCATCCCAGGGGTTGGTTTTCACAGATCAGTGAGAAATCAACAATCCCAGAAAACCAACAAGTATTTGAAGTACCACACTGGCTTTAAGGAAGAAAAAGCAACACACTTTAATGAGTAAGTCAGGAAAAAATAATAAGTGCAAAATAATTACTTATGTCCATGTCCATACCCAGTTTTCAACTTTTTACAGGTTCTTTTTCTTTATACTTGACTAGGGAATACATTATACACACTAAACACTTTCTAATACGTAAGCACGCTCAGAGTTTATCCAGATGTGAGCTATAAAGGGTATAAAGAGAGGACTATTCCCTGTGGCAGTGTATACAAATGTCTTAAAATAAGCACAAACACAGAGGAATATTCACATTTCCACAGTTACTGGTTGGTCATTCTGCACTGCTTTAAAGCACCCCTCGAGATCAGCTAGATCAATTTGCTTAGACATAGAAAATCCAAGAATATAAAGTAAAGATTTTTATTTACACAACTAGAATTCCAGAAAAAGGCAGCATGTACATAAGTTAATAAGATTATCTTCAACTAGGAGATACTATAGCTCTTCTTGTAGACAGCAGTGTTTGGGAGGAGAGGGGGAGAAAGAGAGCCTGTGATTCCATTTTCCACTGATTCATTTTCCAAGTAAGTAAAAAAACAGAGCTTCAACTTCATAAAAATAGCAGCATGAAGTTCAAAGACTTGTGAGGAAATTGTAAACTAAGGGTTGGAGTTATATTAAAAAAGGAGAGGAAAAAACAGATGTGTAAAATATCCCTAGTTCTGCACATTGCATTTGTGCGCTGGGTGTGGCAAAGCTCCATGAAGCAATGAGAAGGCAAAGCTTCCCTTCCTCAAAGACATAAGGCTTGCCTTGAACCAGAAGTCAAGTGGTGCTTGTGCTTGCAATTCAGCCAACAGTTGTTGCAAAGCCGTGGCAGTCACGAGTTTTCTCATATGAAGCAACCGGTGTAATTTATGGCTATGTTCATTAAATCCATACTTCAGAAGAACCCTTCTCTCCCCTCAAGAACAGACATATTGTAACATTAAGTGTTACTACAGAAACAATAGCTGTGCAGCTGCAATGATTTTTGTGTTCTTTTCCCTTTCCCTCCAAACAGATCAAGTGTTTAGTTAAGATCAGATTCACCTTCAAGTTTTTGAAGCAAGAAAAGCCCACAGAAAAAAAAAGTAACATACATACTTTCTATTGAAAGTCATATTATGAAAAAAATACTTCTAAATTGCAGATTAAAACTAAAAATTGGTATTGTAAGAATTTATAAATCTCTGCATTTACATAGTAGCGTTATATCCAAGAAGAAAAAGCAGTTTAAAAGTGCTCTTTTAAAGCAAATATTGTTATTGTTACTGAGCAAGCTAACCATGCTGCAAGAACAAAATAAATCTCTCTAGAACAACTGATTTTTCAAACATTTTATCATTTTGTTTTCATGGTGAACAGTAACTATAAATTAACGTATTGCTCAGAAAAGGGACAGTGGCCTTCCAACCAGACTCAGTAGCATCAGTCACAAGTCACTAGTAAAGCTTCAGTGCAAGTTCTATACCACCAATACCCAACCACTGTTGGAAAGCTGTTGATGGAGGCACTTCTGCTAATATGCAACACAAAATCTTGTCCATTATTATTGCCAAACAGAAGCAGGTTGGCTTTTTATGGGTAGGTTGGTTGGGTTTTTCATTTAGGTTTTGTTGTTGTTATTATTTTTTTAATATATATGGTTTAAATGAACAAATAAATGTGCCAAAAACCTGGTTAGATTTGCTCTTCTGTACATCAGTAGATTTCAGATACTTTTAAAAAAAAACAAAAACCTGTTATGAAAACACAGATTTCTTTGCTCTTTCAAGCCAGTAAGTGTCTTTATCTTGTACCACCCTTGGACAAGAGTGCAGGCTAATTTACTGTGCTTATCTTTTACCTGACAATGAGTAGGACTGGAGGGATGAGGAACTGGCTTGTCTGGCTAAGAC